GTGGGAAGCTACCTCTTGGGACCGGCCACAACCCATGTGGCCGGCGTGAAGCCTTCTCCAGAGACTGGCTAGAACCCTAAATCGACCTCTTGGACCCCTAGGCCTATAAATACTTATTCCTAAACCCTAAAAGATGTTTGTCTTCAAAGTGTGGAGTTAGTGAAAACCCTAAGGAGACACTAGAGATGCAGCAGACATCACTCTACCTCGATCCGAAGCTTTGAAGTCCACCAAACTTCTTCTTTTCTCTTATTTGTTACTTAGATCTATAAGGGAGAAGTCTTGACCTCTTGTATTCGACATTAAAGAAGTAATCTCTGAACCCTATTCAGTTATTATTCATCTTATTCTTATGAGTTTATCTAACCTTGCTTTGATGATTCCTTTAACCATGCTAGAGTAGTTTACTAGTTGGGGTTAAAGGGATAATCAAAGGGGGAACATGATCGATTGTTAGGTGGCAATATCTTTGGTTTTGTTTGTTCGTTTACACTGTTATCTTTCGTTATAAACTATCTCTTAATGCATTGATACAAATCTCGGAATCACACCAAGACTCACAACAAAGATTCTATGCTTAAAGAGGCTTATTGAAGGGGTGGAAGCGTTGGTAGAGATGGGCTTTGGCTCAGGGATGAATTGACTGAGACAAAGGGCTGAGACTTGGCTTTCTTGGGGGTATTCCTCACACTAGAAAGACAGGACTCAATCGATTCTTAAGCAAGGGGATGATCCACACACAATACTTAAGAGAAATCGACAAAGCAGAACCAAACTCAAAGGCAGTAGCTTTGATACAAAACTCAAGTTTTATGATGATAAAGATGCGTGGCTACTAATGAAGAATAGAATGAGCTTATATAGAGCTCAAAAATACAGAAAACGAATAAAACATAGAAGGAAAGGCATTAATGAGAAATATGGCCGTTGGCCTTAGTTGAGAGCTAGGAGGAAAAGGAAAGCTTGGGGACAACTCTTGACACTTTAAGAATGTCGTGGAGGCCTCCTCTTCATGGTAAAATCTCGAGTCTTTAAAGCATATAGCTGTTGTGTGTGAACACGTCCATTTAAGGTAAGTGCGGGTCCATGTAGACTCTTCTTGGTGTGAACACTCTTGGACGAATTGAGCTGGTTTCTTGCCTTTCTTGGAACCCTCTTATGCTCCTAGAAGCTTCAAAAGTCGCACTTTTAGTTGGCAAGAAATTAGAGTCAAAACTTTCCATATTTGGACCCGGGTAAGGCCAAATCAAGGGCTGTTGGTTATGGCTCGTTCTTGGGCTGACATGGGCTGGTTTCCCTGGATCAAAGGTCTTCTTATAAGTTTTTTCTCTTAGAATATTCAATATCTCAGCCTTTGTTTGAGCAGAATCATCTTTGGTCCATGTTGGTGAAATCTCTTGAACAAAAGACTCCTCAGGTTCAAGCTCGATCGAGTGGTTCAGTCCATGGTCGAGCTCAAGGTCGAGCTCCTTCTCCAAGTTTATTTTTTCAAGCTCGATTGAGTGCTTGAGTGTGCGGTCGAGCTCATGGTCGAGTCTATCTGCAGCTACAAGCTCGTCTTCAGGTTCAAGCTTGAGCAATGGTTTCTGGTCCGGTTCAGTTGTGAGGTGAGCTGAGTGGTTTGATGGCTTCTTGGTGATGGAATAGGAGTCTAGGGAGAACAAATCAATGACAGTCGTCTCCCCTCGTCATCGACTTGTTCAACAAGGGAGATCGTCTCTCCTTTACCCTTGTCTAGACTCGCATGTTCGTTGCACCTAACTTCTCCATGGTTCCCGGTACTGAAGCTTATATCATGCATGTAGTTAGCCTCGTGAACTGATACAAGTGTCTAAGTGTCGCTTATCGCTTACTTAAATACTTGAACCTAGTTTAGATGAGTATCATGTTATAACAAGCAAATACCACTTAGTCATAGGGCTTTATGGACTATAATCGAACCCGATCTTAATGCTTTGATGTATGCGCCGTTGCCTGCATGAGTTGAGTAACATAGTATAAGAATTTTAGACGGTTAATTCTATATCATAGGGTTAATTGAATATTCGTGTTTCGTATATCCGAGACTTGGAAGTAAACAAACATTCTCTTAAAATTACCTAGATAAAAAGATCATTGAACCCCCTACGATCCCTTGAATGTCCAACGCTTGTCTTTTATTGATTTACACATTCGTTTATTTGCTTAGTACTTTAGTCGTGGCATGAAATCAAATACCTTTTTTATTGATTAGTCCTAGCCTTATCCTCTTCTGACGGATTCGTAAAATAACGTCCTCTCTCTATGAGATTTGATCCTTAAATACTACAAACGATTAATTGTGAACTTGCAGTCGTCGTGTGGTCCTCTAAGGTAAATCCTTGAGGTGAAAAAAATACGCATCAGTAATGAATGAGCTGTCTACAACCAGACTTGCGCTCACGGTGATTATGCAGTCACTTGGAGTTCAAATCCCTCAAACTGCTGCTGCTCCTCCTAGTGTTGCTCCTGATAGTGTTGCGGCTGTTCGTGATGGTGCTGCGGCTCGAGTTGGTGCTAAGGCTCGTGATGGTGATTGGTGAAGCTGCTCTTTCTCGGACAACTTCCCCGGGAGTCCCTCCCACAAAAACAAACCAAAGCAACTTAGATGCTTGGTGTGCTTCACTAGGTATATACGTATAAATATTTTCATGTTTTGGTTAGCTTTTGAATGACTTTTGCAACCCTTTTGGACCTGGTAATGTATGATATAAGATATATTGTTATTAGGATTTCATGTTTTTTTTTAAGTCTTGCTTTTGAACATGAACCTATAAAATATTGTTTTCAGGTTTAGAATTATAATTATTTCTTTGGCCAAATACAACATGATTAACCACAGATATTACAAGTAAAACATGGCTTATATTCGTAGCAAGTAAGCCGCCGATATACTCACGAAAAATTCAAAAAATCAGTGGCTACTTTGCAATGATTATGCCACTTTCATAAAACATGGCTTAATCAAACTAGCCACGACTATGCCACTTGCTAAAACGTGGTTTAAGGCTTGATTGGTTCTCCTACTAACACGTGGCTAGCGGTTGTTAATTAGCGGTCGGTTGCGGTTGTTAACGGTTGGTACCAATTGTAGAAACCGCTTCATACCGCTTCGACCGCTGGAAATCGGTGGATTTTAAAAGCTCTTTCCCGCAAGCGTTTGCGGTTGGTTTGAAAAAGGAAAGATACTAAAAAAGGAAAATGAACAAATTCAAATATATATTATCAAATCTTATATATATTCACGTTAATTCTAAAAAAAATAATTATTATATAACTTTAACTTGCCAATATTAATAATTATTTTTGTTTTCAATACAAAATTTATTTGAATAATGATTTAGTAATTATTTATGGTTTTTAATCATTAATCATGTTTAAAAAATTTATACTTTTTCATATAATAATAGAATTTGGTGTTTTTATACTTTTTCATAATTATATATTAAATTTATTTCTGTAAATTTTGGTTTAACCGCTATCGTACTCGCTGATCAACCAGTCGTAAATCTCCTGCAAATGCACCTGTTTTTAACTGCTAAACCAGTCGATCAAGACGCTAAATAACGCTTAAAACCGCAACCGTCCGCTTCCGCAAACTCCCACAACCGCAACGACAACCGATGCGTTTAAACCAGTCAAGCCGTAATTAGTCACGGAATTCGGGTGTCATAGCCACGAATTATATTAGTGACTATTCGCGGCTACATCGGCTTACATCCACGGATATTCAGGCTCAACCACTAAAATTGAAGTGGCTATACGTACTTTGTTTAATAGTAGAGTCTGATAAGAGAGATAAAACCTTCATGAAACTATTAGTGTATCGTCTTTGGAGTAGTCACTGAAGAGAAGGTACATGTAAAGAATAAATGCTCACGAGTTTCCATCGGGGCTTGGCAAAAGATGAAAAGAAGCACGATGGAATCACTCCCCTGTTCCAAGTAGACATACACTTGCCAGTAGTAAGCCTATTCTTTGCAGCGAGCCAAAACAAAAGGGAATATTTCGGGATAGATTCGGAGAACCAAACACTCTTGTAGCAGTCTATTGCATCTTTTGCTATGTATTTTGAGATAGTAAAGTAATATAACTTAATTTTTACGAGTTGTAGTTTTTATTAAAAGAAAAACCATAAACTAGAGTAAGATTTCAATGATCGATCCATAAAGATATAAAACCAAATGAATCACCACAGATCTTCGAACTTAATGTTGTAACCTATTGGGTCTCTAAAGTCACATTCGAGACCCAGAGTATAAGAAAGATTTGGGAAAGTTAAGAACAATATGATGGTTAATGTGTGGATTTAAACTTAAGATATGTTTGAAATGAATTTGGATCATGATCCAATCATATTGCTAAGTCAACTATTAGAATGTCCCACATTGCTTGGGATTAAGATCTTTGGGTAGTATATAAAGGATGTGACAATCCTTAACTCTTGAGCTAGCTTTTGGGTTAAGTTAGACCACATTCCTAATATGGTATCAGAGCCCAAGGTTGGTCCAACAAGCAAATTTCCCACAAAAATAGTTTCCCACCTATGTGGCCCATATAAGTGGCATGTCTTGTTGTATTTCCGAGATGTTGGGCTTGGGCTGTTTCCTGTTGGACCGTTTCCCACCCACATCTCGAGGAGGCCTATTAGAATGTCCCACATTGCTTGGGATTAAGATCTTTGGGTAGTATATAAAGAATGTGGCAATCCTTAACTCTTGAGCTAGCTTTTGGGTTAAGTTAGGCCACATTCCTACAACAAAGGAAGCAGCCACTGAAATTGACTGAAAAATGATTTTTTAGACAAATCAATTTTAATATATCATCCCTGTCTCGTTTAATGCCACGAGGAACTCCTAACCTAAAGTCGTATCTTGACCGTCCAGGATTTTTTTTAATTATTGTTCGTCAGTCAACTCCTGTTTTTTTTATTGAGCATACAAAGATATAGGAGAATGAGACGATGTTATTATCATAAGTTCCATTTTCTTGCTTTTTCATTATTGATACCCAAGAAGGTAAAAAAGGAAAATGAAAGGCTCTTGGAACACAATCAGTCTCATTCTTATAACTACTTTTTGTCTCTTCTTTTTCACTTCTAATTATCGAGACGTGTTTGCGGCTCCTACTAGACACTTGTGTCATAAAAAACAAAGAGACGCAATTCTCGAGTTCAAGAACGAGTTTGAGATTCATAAGCCTTGTGCTGAAGGGACTTTGAAGACTGATTCATGGGTGAATAACATTGATTGTTGTTCTTGGGATGGTATCGGATGCGATGCCAAGTCTGGGGTTGTGATCGAGCTAAACCTTAGCAACAGCTGCCTTCATGGCCAGCTCCATTCCAATAGTAATATTTTCATGCTTCAAAACCTTCGTTTTCTTGACCTTTCAAATAATCATTTCAGTGGTCAAATCCTATCTTCACTTGGAAACTTTTCTAATCTCACAACTCTAGACCTTTCTGAAAATCATTTCAGTGGTCAAATCCCATCTTCCCTTGGCAATCTTTTGCATCTCACATTTCTTGACCTCACTGATAACAATTTTGTTGGTGAAATCCCAACTTCACTTGGTAACCTTTCTCATCTCACCATTCTTCTCCTTGGTGCTAACAAGTTTGTTGGTGAAATCCCATCTTCAGTTGGAAATCTTTCTCATCTCACTGATCTTGCCCTCTGTGAAAACAATCTTGCTGGTGAAATCCCATCCTCATTTAAAAATCTTTTACATCTCACCAATCTTGATCTCTCACAAAACAACTTAGTTGGTGAAATACCATCTTTTTTTGGTAGTTTTAACCGGTTGGTCAGCTTATCTGTTGAAAACAACAAGTTTAGTGGTAACTTTCCCCTCTCACTACTAAATCTAACAAATCTGTCAGAATTATCACTCTCCAGCAACCAGTTCACAGGCATGCTTCCTCCTAACATGAGTTCACTCTCCAACCTGGAGTTCTTTTACGCAGACGCCAACGCTTTCACTGGTCCTATCCCTTCGTCTCTCCTCAACATTCCTTCTTTGACTTATTTTGGCTTGAGTTATAACCAACTCAACGGTACTCTTGAGTTTGGGAATACATCTTTATCACTCGTAGACTTACGCCTTGGCAATAACAACTTTAGAGGGCCAATCCCCAAATCCATTTCCAAATTAGTAAACCTTGAGGAACTTGACCTTTCCCATTTCAACACCCAAAGCTTCGTTAACTTTAGCATCTTCTCGCATCTCAAGTCACTCGGAAGTCTTCAGCTCTCCCATCTGAACACTACGACTACGTTTGACTTGAATGTAATCTTATCAAGTTTTAAATCACTATATACATTGGACCTCTCAGGAAACCGTGTTATAGCCACAAACAAGAGTTCAGTTTCAGATCCTCCATTGTTAGGGCAGTTTAACTTGTCCGGATGCGGTCTCACCGAGTTCCCAGAGTTCCTAAGAACCCAACACAAAATGGCGAATTTAGACATTTCCAACAACAAAATCAATGGTCAAGTACCTGGCTGGTTATGGATGCTACCAAATCTGGAGTACGTGAATCTTTCCAACAACACTTTCAACGGTTTCCAAAAATTAACGAAACCTGTCTGGCAACCATCTATGAGTTACTTGTTTGGCTCCAACAACAATTTCACTGGAAATATTCCCTCTTTCATATGTACGTTGCGCTCTCTAACCGTTCTCGATTTATCTACCAACAAATTCAATGGTTCAATCCCTCGTTGTTTGGGAAATTTTAGTAGTACTCTTCAAGCTTTAAATCTAAGAAAGAATCATCTTTGTGGAGGTTTTCCAGAGAATATATCTAGAAGTGTAAAGTCGCTTGACGTGGGTCATAACCAATTGGTGGGAAAGCTTCCAAGATCTTTGGTTCGTATCTCTTCTCTTGAAGTTCTCAATGTGGAAAGCAACAGAATCAATGATACATTTCCTTTCTGGTTGAGATCTCTACAAGAGCTACAAGTTCTTGTCCTTCGTTCCAATGCATTCCATGGACCGATACAACAGACCGGGTTTTCTAAATTGCGAATCATCGACATATCCCATAATCACTTCACTGGAACTTTGCCATCAGATTTCTTTGTAAATTGGACGGCAATGTTCTTACTTGGAGAAAATGAAGATCAGTCTAATGGAGAGTACATGGGTACAAGCTATTATAGTGATTCAATGGTTTTGATGAATAAAGGCGTAGCAATGGAGCTGGTACGTATCTTGAAAATCTACACAGCACTCGACTTTTCGGGAAACAAATTTGGAGGAGAGATTCCAAAGTCCATTGGTCTATTGAAAGAGCTCCATGTGCTCAACTTGTCAAGCAATGCTTTCACTGGCCACATCCCATCATCAATGGCAAACCTGATAGAGCTTGAGTCACTAGACGTTTCCCAAAACAAGCTTTCAGGAGAAATTCCACAAGAGTTAGGGAAACTCTCATACCTTGCGTACATGAACTTCTCTCATAACCAGCTGGTAGGGCTAGTACCAGGGGGCACTCAGTTTCAAACACAGCCTTGCTCTTCTTTCGCGGATAACCCGGGACTTTTTGGCCCTTCACTTGAGAAAGTTTGTGATATCCATGGGAAAACACCGCAACAATCTGAAATGCCAGAGCCAGAAGAAGATGAAGAAGAGGTGATAAGTTGGATAGCAGCTGCAATTGGATTCATACCTGGTATTGCCTTTGGATTGACGACGGGATACATATTGGTTTGCTACAAACCAGAGTGGTTCATGAACCCTTTTGTCCGAAACAAACGCAGAATATAACTCATTGGAGAGGTAATGTTCTGAATTTGGAAGAATTTGGACTATATAATATAATATATATTTTTTGGATGTATGAACAAATGAAACTAACGTATTTAATCGTTCTTTGTTTGTATAGCGTTCTAAAACCCAAGCTGAAGAATCACTGAAGTAGAAAATAAAAGCAACCAAACCAGACGAAATGTAGAGAACAAGGCGTGGGGAAAAAGAAATCTAATTATAATTTTTTCTTGTGGATGGGATTATCATGTTGTTTCTTGTTTAGCTTCGTGTTTTCTGTTTAAATATGTTCAATCTTCATATTTATTTGAACATCTATGTTTTTAGTATAAAAGATAAGTAATCTAGCCGTAACACGAATGTGGATTGCAATTTTTTTGAACAGTTTAATTGGAAAACGAGATGTTTCTCACTAGGGTGGAAAAAGGAGTGTCATGAAAAAGATTATATTTGATCATTTGATCGTTTGCATCTAAATGCAACCTGATAACTGGCTATGATTAGGGATTGAAACTGACCAAAAATTTTGCAAAATAAACGATGTCTTATCGAACCATAAATTAAGTGGAGACTGGAGACAGCAGGCCCAATGAATCATATTTATTCAGCTCCAACCAATATTGGAAGCTTGTCTTATTTTTGAATGAATTATTTTTATTAATTGGTTCTTGCAGTTAGGTGGTCGTAATCAAAATAAATATTTTCTTTGTAGAAAGGACCCACGAAATATGATTACAAAGTTTGTTTGAAAACTTTGATTCATAAAAAGCAATTATTTTTTTGTTACTTTACTATTCCCACCTAATGTTAATCAAGCCATAATTGTAAAGTTTTGTACTAGGTGACACTCAAGGACAATCATGTATTACTAGATATGTGGCGAATGGTGTGAACGATGTAAATAGATTTAACTAGTTATATAATAGGGAATATCGAAAAAGAGAGTATATATTCTTTGAATTACTCACAAAGTCGAGATAGAGAGTATTCTTCGAACTACTCACAAAGTCGGAGCTGCGAAGATGAAGTTCGATGTGCTTTCTTAAAATAGGGAATGCAAGTTTCTACGAAATTTGAAAATTCAGAGAACGAGAATTTCCGTATTTTGAGTTAAATTTTTCAAGCTAGTTACATTCTATTATTGAGTGGATCTTCAATTCGCTTTTCTTCGGTAGGTCATACCCTTTATTTTTGTGCCATCGAACATATTGGTAGTTCAAAAAAAGTATTGAATTATAATTGAGATCATAAAAAAGAAAAAGTTATGAAAGTTGAGACACTGCAGTGATATACCAACTGGATCCTGACCAGCACGTACGTGCGGGAATTCATATTTAAAGTATCGAATTCTAATTGAGATCATAAAAGGAAAAATTTATGAAAGTTGAGACACTGCAGTGATATACCAATGTGCGGACGATCCAGTGGTATTTTGTAACCGAATGGAGCATGACTCGCGAAACCTGATATTAATCATCACAAATACATTAAATCAAAATAAAGGTGGTGACTGGTGAGAGGGAAGAGGCGTGATAGAAACCTGATATGATTGATTATATGAATCACAAATACATAACTCAAATTAATAACACATTTGGTCTTTCAAAAATTTAATTTCCATTATAAATTATAGATGATTATTAATAAATATTGAGACCCACATGCCAAGCAACTACCTGAGAATTCTTCCTAATTTAAAACAACATTTTTTTTTGGTTAAAACAAATCATGCAAATGTCTTCAAAACTTTTTTTTTTATCTAACCAAATTATAGATGATTATGAATAAATGAGACGGAGACCTAAGAAGGGTTGACGGGTACTTAAGTTAATTTTTATTTGTTAAAATAAAACCATGAAAATAACTTATTTTCTAAAAAAAATCCTATTAACTTTTAGAAACTTTTCTAATCCCTTTAATGTTATTTTAGTATGCTGACGTGGAATATTCATATCCCTTATATATTAATTGAGAAGCATTTTTTAAAAATAACCTTACCCTCATGTGTGATTAACGAAAATGCCATGCTGACGTGTCGTTCTCACAGAGCTTCTCAATCTATTTAATTAAAGACCCAACATTTATTAAGATATTTACAGATTTTGCCATTAGTTTTAGTTATGTTTATTTTTCTAATTAATTTATGCTTTTTATTTAGCTCAATTAATTAAAACGAAAATACAATTAAAATATGTAATGAAGAGATACAAATCTATACAAAATGGAGTAGCTAATATTTTGTGTATCTATTAATATAACAAGATATATATCATGAATCATGATAAACACAAAACATTAATACATAAATAAAAAATTTCACTAATCTTGATAATTATTAATACACTATTGTTTATCTAATAATATAAAATTCGAACACCTTCAATATAATTAATACATTAAAATATATTTAATAATCATTTTGTCCCGCACATAGTGCGGGTTATTATCTAGTTGGCTAGTATAATCCTATGTTAATATTATGTTTTTTTTTACTTAATTAAGTCTTTAGACCCTAGACAACTTGATCAAAGAACTTCCAAATTTCTATTTGCTAGGTTTTCCATCATTTATTAATTTTAAATTTGGTGTTTTTTATTATAAGAAAGATATATTGGTTATTAACTCCGTTTTAATTTTTGTTGTCAAATTGTTCTTTTAATAAACTACGTTTTGAACCCACGCTACGCGTGGGTTTTTCATATTTATTTTTATGAAAATCTATACTATATAAAAGTCGAGGCTATAAGCCTCTGAGACCGTCCACCTAAGATTTTAAATCACCAATTGTGAATAGACATCTCATTAATTAACATTTTTTAGCCATCACTTTAATTAACATTTTTAAATTCTACTATTTTCTATAATAAAATATTTATCAAAAGGAAAAAAAAACATATGGAAATAAGAAAACGGAATGTAAAATTCAATTTTTGTAATATAGAAAAAATAATATCATTATTAGTCTCAATATGTTAGCTTCCAAATAAATTAAAAAAATTCTAATTCTAAGATAATATAATTAATTGAAATTGGAAAAAAAATTCGAATATAAGAAGAAGTTTTCCAATTAACAAAAATGTATTACAAAACAACTAAGAAGAAAATTTTCCAAGGAAAATAATAAAGCCCTAAATTCTAAAACAGTGGTTTATATATAAATAACCATCTATGGCCATTGATCGTTGAAAGTTCAAACGAAGAATTTATTGACTTACTATGACACATACAACTTCTCCACCTTCAACGACCTCTTGACGAGCTTGAAAAAGGCTTTTACTAACAAGGAAAGAAAGGAATTTTCGAAGAATAAATATGGAGCCTATGAAAAGTTTGGAAGGTAGGGCACGTACTGCTTAGACAAAATCATAAGAGGATGGAAAGACAACGTGAAAGAAATTTTCACTAGAAGGTGAAGTGAAGAGGGATTAAGGTGTGTTTGGTCTGTGAATATTTGAAGAAGAAATATGGAGCCTATAAAAAGTTTGGAAGGTAGGGCACGTACTGCTTAGACAAAATCATAAGAGGATGGAAAGAGACACCGTATCTGAAAAAAAATTTCACAAGAAGGTGAAGTGAAGAAGGATTAAGGTGTGTCTTGTCTGTGAAGTTTTAAAGCAACGATGACATGAATGTGTTGACGATAACACGATGGCAGCAACCACAAAGAAAAATATTGGTTTATATATAAATAACCATCTATGGCCATTGATCGTTGAAAGTTCAAACGAAGAATTTATTGACTTACTATGACACATACAACTTCTCCACCTTCAACGACCTCTTGACGAGCTTGAAAAAGGCTTTTACTAACAAGGAAAGAAAGGAATTTTCGAAGAAGAAATATGGAGCCTATGAAAAGTTTGGAAGGTAGGGCACGTACTACTTATATATTAATTGAGAAGCATTTTTTAAAAATAACCTTACCCTCATGTGTGATTAACGAAAATGCCATGCTGACGTGTCGTTCTCACAAAGCTTCTCAATCCATTTAATTAAAGACCCAACATTTATTAAGATATTTACAGATTTTGCCATTAGTTTTAGTTATGTTTATTTTTCTAATTAATTTATGCTTTTTATTTAGCTCAATTAATTAAAACGAAAATACAATTAAAATATGTAATGAAGAGATACAAATCTATACAAAATGGAGTACCTAATATTTTGTGCATCTATTAATATAACAAGATATATATCATGAATCATGATAAACACAAAACATTAATACATAAATAAAAAGTTTCACTAATCTTGATAATTATTAATACACTATTGTTTATCTAATAATATAAAATTCGAACACCTTCAATATAATTAATACATTAAAATATATTTAATAATCGTTTTGTCCCGCACATAGTGCGGGTTATTATCTATTTGGCTAGTATAATCCTATGTTAATATTATGTTTTTTTTACCTAATTAAGTCTTTAGACCCTAGACAACTTGATCAAAGAACTTCCAAATTTTTATTTGGTAGGTTTTCCATCATTTATTAATTTTAAATTTGGTGTTTTTTATTATAAGAAAGATATATTGGTTATTAACTCCTTTTTAATTTTTGTTGTCAAATTGTTCTTTTAATAAACTAAGTTTTGAACCCACGCTACACGTGGGTTTTTCATATTTATTTTTATGAAAATCTATACTATATAAAAGTCGAGGCTATAAGCCTCTGAAACCGTCCACCTAAGATTTTAAATCACCAATTGTGAATAGACATCTCATTAATTAACATTTTTAGGCCATCACTTTAATTAACATTTTTAAATTCTACTATTTTCTATAATAAAATATTTATCAAAAGGAAAAAAACATATGGAAATAAGAAAACGGAATGTAAAATTCAATTTTTGTAATATAGAAAAAATAATATCATTATTAGTCTCAATATGTTAGCTTCCAAATAAATTAAAAAATTCTAATTCTAAGATAATATAATTAATTGAAATTGGAAAAAAATTTCGAATATAAGAAGAAGTTTTCCAATTAACAAAAAATGTATT